CGTATTCATCATGTTACCGATGAATTTATTTAAAATTATAACAAAAATTAAATTGAAGAACAATCCGATGTAATTAATACGAAAACCCAGTAAATAGTCAACCTCCTACCGGAGATTATTTAGAGGGCACTGACAAAAAAGAGATAGACCCAAAGACGATAAATTTATTTCTTGTTTTGTATCTGATAACCCTAAAAAATATTGGTATAAAATATACTCGAGTAAAACTATTTGCACAGTAAAAGGTTTCACGCTTAATTTTAAAAATTCACAGAAGGTATATTTCGTAACTGTTACCAATATGATTAAAGACATTGGCCCAGGGAAAACACTACATCCAACTCTAATTGGGTAACCAAGAAACCCAAATCAAGAAAAATTGTAAATGAAACCTCAACTAAAGACTATAGAATAGTATGATAAGGGAATAATTATTGATGAATTTAAAACTGTGCTGAATGGATATGTTTGGTAATACTTTTCACTTTATCTATTATTGCAGATATTTTTATTCATGTAAAAATTAAAAGTGTTTGTGTAAACTTAAAAAAGAAAGTATATATAATGTCAATTATTGTAATTACTTCTGTATATATTGTAAATTATTGTAATTACTTTTGTAAATATAAGAGAAATATTTTATTTTTGTAATGTCTAAAGATATTATTGTATATTTTTAAATTAATGGTATTACTTTTGTAAATATAAGAGAAATATTTTATTTGTTGTATACTATAATTATACGACAGATTGATGAAATCTGCTTTGCTTATCGATGAAACAGAAACATAAATCTTTTTCATTATTTGAAATTATTTCTTTACCGATCGTGGAATAGATACACATAGTACTTAACATACAATTTACTTTCTTGACACGAATTTTATTTTCTTTATATAAAACTTATTTTCTTGACAAAAATCATATTTTCTTTACATAAAATTTTTTTTCTGTACACAAATATTTCGTTTAATACATTTTTATTTCTTAATGTATATGATTTTACATTGTTTTTTACATAAAATGTATTTCCTTTACACGGTTTCATTTCCTTTGCATAAAAATTAATTTACTTTACATAAAATTTATTTTCTGGACACGAAATTTATTTTCTTGACACGAATTTTATTTTTCTTACATAATATTAATTTACATTACATAAACCTTTACCTTTTTAACATTCAGAAGTTTAAAATTATATTTTCTTTAACCGAATGGTTTATAAGTGTTATATAATTTATTCCAATATTAATTTGTAATTTTAATATTTTCCATGTATTTTAATAAACTTCAATGTGTTCTGCAATTTAGATTAATCTCTTCATCTTATTTGTAAATAAATCTCTTTAAACTTTTTATTAACATGCAGTTTGTAAATATAAGAGAAATATTTTATTTTTATCTTTTCAATGAGTTTGTTTTACAGTATATTTTATGTTTAGTTCTACTGTTCCTTAATATCTTGCATTTGCAGGAATCAATGTGATATTTATTAATTCAGTGATTACAATTTAACTAGGTTTATATTTTACAGTTTTTACAATTCCTTATTTCCGCATTTCAAATGAATACGTCCTTCAAAAGTAACAAAATAATCGGCTATGGAACTGTATTTATCATAGCATTGTTTACCAACTCTATGATATGGACAATTTTATTTTTCTATGCCGAGAGTATTTTGAATATATTTCTTTAAAGTATTTTGAGTTATTTTTTCTAATTATTATTTGTTTGGATTATTTTTATTATATTCTTTCTGTTTTGATTGTATCCGAGGATATCATAGATCTTACTATATATTTTAAAATGTAAAAATAGGTATTAGGCCTATGAATACAATTTCTATTTTTGCGGTATAATAACTCGCTTTTAATTTTTGCACACATCATCGCAATCATCATCATCATCATCATCATCATTGTCGTCAACTTCGCCTACATCATCACCATCAGTATGTCTGTCAATATAATCATAATCACACCATAGTCAATATCATCAGCCTTTGTAGTATCATAATCACCTCCACCATCATCCTCACT